CTCTTAGGTTCAGAAAGAATACTTTTTCTTTGTGTTTTGTTTGTTTTGTTTTGGGTTTTTTTTTTTTTTTTTTTTTTTTTTTTGGAAACAGGATTTAACTTTGTGGGTTTGCATCATTTATAAGAAACTGCACATCATAATTTTAAAATATAGTTATGTCTTCCCAGGATGCAGAGTTTAAGGTTAGAGGTATATCAGCTCCCTATGGGTGTGAGAAAAAGAGTGAAAAGACATTATTTACCAGATTGTACTCTTACTTCTGGTGTGGTATGGTGGTGAATGGTAGGCAGCACACAAGAGGAAGATGCTCTCAGTGCAGCCAGCAAACAAATGTGACAAATTATGGACTGATCATCTGATAATTTCTCTCTGTGTCTCTGTGTCTCTGTCTGTCTGTCTCTCTCTCTGTGTCTCCGTCTGTCTGTCTGTCTGTCTGTCTGTCTGTCTGTCTCTCTCTCTCTCTCTCTGTGTCAGGATCAAACTCATGAATCTTGGGTCTGCCAGGCAGGCATGGTGCTGACTGATCTCCCCAGCTGTTTCTTTTTTCAAAAATGTGTGATCTGGGTGTGGTGGTGCACACCCCCATAATACCAGCACTCCAGAGGATGATGAAAGATCACCATAAGTTTGAGGCCAGCTTGAATTACAAAGCAAGAGCAGGGAGAGAGAGGAGGGGAGGGGAGGGGAGGGGAGAGGAGAGAGAGATTAGAGATTCCACCCTCCGAACATTTTAGTCCTTCTTTGTTTCTGCAGAGCTTCCATTAAGGAGAACGTGGAGTTGATCCGACTGAAGAAGCTGTTACATGAGAGGGACACCTCCCTGGCAGCCACAAAAGCACAGTTAACAGAAGTTCAAGAGGTCAGTGGCTGTCACACTGCTTCCCTGGGGGAAGAGTCAATTAGTTAAAAAATTTCTATTACTTTCTTCCTTTGCATGGGGGAATACCACAATTTGGAGAGACTCCAGTATCTAAGGTCACATGGCTTAGGTGACACTCAAATCCCAGGCTTGCAGTTCAGAGCCCATTCTTTTCTCGGTATTAACCCATATTTTTCTGTTAGGAAGAAGGCTTACCAGCCTGCTGAGGTGGAAGTAAGCAGAGTTAGTTACTGTCCCAGCCCAGGACCATGCCAGAAAGTCAGCCAGTCAGGAGCCAAGTGCAGTCTCGGGAAGGAAATGTTCACAGCCTCAGGCCTAGCAACTCAGAGTCACAATCTCACTGCATGCAGACAGCAGTCCTGAGGCAGATGCACTGAGAGGATGGATGCTAGAACTCTACTCAGCAGGATAAGTGACTTGCACATGTTGTAGAACTGGCAAGAGGCAGAGCAAGATTTGTGTCCAGCTGGCACAAAACTCTTTTCTCATTGTCACACAGGGAAGCTAATATCCTCTCCTGGAAACAGCACACCAGGGGTCTGAGCAACAGATCAGCATCTTCCTTTCATTGAACAGGATGTGGTAGGTTCTGTATCAAGCCCTGGGGGAGGAGATTAGAGAAGGCAGGCCGGCTCCTGCCCTCCCAGACCTGACAGGAGGGAGAGAACAGCATGGAAACAATGAGGCTGTGGGCAGGCAGCATAGGCGGAGGAGTCAGACCCAGCAGAGGGTGGGGAGCAGGCTCAGGAAAGAATTCCTCCTCAGTCAAGACTGGACCTTTAGGAGCTGCTAAAGAGAGAGGAAAGGGCTTTTCAGGGGTGAGGGGCATAGGCAGAGGCACCGAGGTGGATGCAGCAGCGGCAGGTCACAGAGCCCACTGCAGCACTTAGACTCTAACCCTCTAAGGAGTGTGCGGCTGGACAAGTGGACAATACCCATCAACTCTTTTTTTCTTTTCCTAGAAAAGATGACTTAGCTTTTTTTTTTTTTTAAGATTTGTCAATTTTATTTATTTATTTTAAATTTTTATTTATTTGTGTGTGTGTGTGTGTGTGTGGCCAGCTCAGCCCACCAGGGGGTGGGGCCGGCTGGCATGTGGTGCTGGGGGATTGAACCGCGGTGCCTGTGCTTTGCTAAGCTTGTTCTAAGTAGGTGCTTTAGACCACTGAGCCATCTCACCAGCCTGACTTAGCCTTTTTAAAAATGTCAAAAAATATTTTGGAATATATTTCAGGAAGTAAAGAACACCTTTAGAAAACTATTATAAAGCACTAAGCCTTATGGGCTGTGAGACTATAGATAATGGCTACCAAAGTCTTTGTACGCTTCCAAAAGCTACAGAGGTTTCAGAAGTTACCAGATCAGCTCTCATGGCTTTCCTCAGGATGGCCGCCCTGCTCTCTCTCCAGGCTGTACTTCTATCCTGCTTTTTCTCTTCTTGTGCACTCAGCCAAGCTTGTCCCACAGTGTCAGTTTCACCCTCACTCTTCACCTTTTACTTTTTCAAATTAATGTTGACACTGCTTAAAAAAAATAGTTGCAAAGTCAAGGAAAGACAGGATGGCAGCAGAATGAATGATAGGTGGAGATCCATCTGAGCAGCTCTCCTTCAAAGAAAATCAGCTGTCTATTTTCTTGTATTGACATGTACAGAGCTTGGCTTTATGTTGTATTATTATTTTTTTAAATTTATGTGTTGAGGACGGGGAAATGGCTTAGTAGAATAAGCGCTTCCCTGGCAAGCACAAAGGCCTGAGTTCATTCTCCGGTTCTGGGGGCGGGGGGAGAAATTATGTATTTGGTAGAGGGTCTCACTATGCATTCTCGGACTCTAATGATCCTCCTGTTTTCAGCCTCCCCAGTGGTGGGATTATAGGCATAAGGTAACAAGCCCAGGGATGGAACCCAGTCCCTGTCCCTGCTTAGAAGAGTCTAGTCCACTGAGCTATCTTGCTGGCCCTTTCAATTGGCTTTAAACAATGCATATTGGTCTAGCCGACATGCTGGTGGTAATCTTTGAAGATGGCACCCGTGTTTCCCAGGTTACCCCCACCTGCTGCTCTTTAACATGAGCTGGCTGAGAGGGGAGGAAGAGCCAATGCTCCACACTCTCGGCTGGGATGCCTGAGATTGAACCTTGAGGCTGTGACTTCCTGGGGCTTGAAAGATTACATGTCTGGAGCTGAAGCACTCAACCCCAAAACATTAGATGCTATCTTAATTGTGTAATGCAGATTACTCTCTGCATATCACTGAGGTAAATACAGGCCTCCTACCTAGCTCAGCTCAGAGTGCTCACCTACTTCCTACCATTCTCAGTCACTCATCCTCCAGCCACTCCTCCTTCTTGACTGAATAAACCCTGGGTTTGGCCCTCGGTCTAGGCCTTTGCTCCAGCCATTTCCATGGCTGGATTTAGGACCCCTCGGCTCCCCATAACTATAAATATGCCTTGGTGTCTTCATTCTCACCAAGGGTTGCTCTGGAAGTGGCAGATTAGAATTAACTTGATGGGATTCTAGTAATTTACCCATCAGGTTACAAATATAAACTTTCCAGAATGAGACGAGGACCAGAAAGGGCTCTCTATAGCCCACTTCCATAATATTTTTAATATAAATATTAAATTTTGTATTATGGAGATAAATATCAAACATATAATGAGGGACCAGGGAGATGACTCAGTAGAATAAGTACTTGCCTGGCAAGCACAAGGGTCTGAGTTCAATCCCCAGTTCTGCAAAAAAAAAAAAAAAACATATAATGAAATTGATGATTAGTAAAATTCTTACTTCTTCTTACTTCTAGGCATATGACTCCTTGCTCCAGAAGGTACTTAAAAGGGATTTTTGGTCAACAGCCCTACCACCCTGAATATACCTGATTTCACCTGAATCTGCTTTTTAGTAACTAGAATAATCAAACCCAAATCCATCTCTAAACAACATACCAGAATTCAGCTAACTAAATCAAAGTTATTATATCATACAGTTTATATTAAGTTAATCAATACCATTACTACTACAGAAGGCACATATTGCATTGTTTTCATTAAACTTCAAATATGAGATCTCAATCAAGAACCATTTGGAATGGCAGTTTTTAGCCTACTGCTACAGTGACTTACAGCATTTTCTCAAAATTTTCTAAAAGGATTCTTTTAGCTTGCATGAGGTAGTGAGATATAGCACATTTATTGCAGATATTATTTGATATTATTAGATATTTGTGCCTATTTACTCCCGTGAGTAGGGTGCAGGGAAGCCCTGTGAATGCCCATGCCCAAGGCACTAAAAGTTCCGTGTGTGACAACCCATAGCTGTGCCTCACTAGAAGAATCTACCAGAAAAACTTAAGGAGCTAGTTGGGCATGGCTCCAATCCTTGCACTTTGGAGTTTGAGGCAGGAGTATCACTGTAAATCTGGGGCCAGCGTGGCCTAGGTAAGGAGTTCAAGGCCAACCTGGACCACATAGCAGGAATCTGTATTAAACAAACCAACCAACTGACCAACTAACCAACCAACCAAGAAACCTATCTTCTAAAGCTGGAAAAGCTTTTAAAGCACACAACTTCTAGGGCTAACATGTCCCTTTCCTTTGAGAAAAATATATCATCATGCGAAGTTGTGATCCCAGTACTCTGGAGGCTGAGGCAGGAAGATTGCTATAAGTTTGAGGCCAGCTTGGTCTACAAAGTGAGCTGAAAGCCAGCCTGAAGTGCATAAAGAGACCCTGTCTCCAAAAAAAAAAAAAAAAATCTATCTATCTATGTATCTATATAAAATGGCATCATTATCATCATCGTCATCATTAAAAGCATCTTTCCACAGCCAAGAATTAATTTGGACCTTGGGACATGTGTAAGACCCTGGGTTTAATCCTTAGCAGTATAAAACTAATTTGGAACATTAAAGCTCTCATGACAAATTATATTACACAGAGTAGGAAATCCTCCCTGATAGGGAAGCAGTTCTTTCAGAAAATGATAAGGTGAAAATCAGATTAACTTACAGTATACAGGCAGGCAGTGTGCTATTCAGGGAGCTCCTGCTGTGTGACACCACCCCAAGAATGCTAGGGCAGCCAGCGGTTATCCAAAGTCCGCCCCTGATGAATGATGTGAATTCCCAGAAGAAATTTCCTTTGGTCCCAGAATCAGGGGCTCTTGAGTGCAGCCCACAGTGCCCTCTTCAGCCAAGTGGATGAGCTCAGGGCAGAGTTCAAGGAGGACAACAAGAAAGCTGTGAGCCTGAGGGGCCAACTGGAGGATGTGTCCATCCTGCAGCAGACGCTCCAGGAGGTAAGTGTTCGCGGGGAGGGGCCGTCGGGTGTAATGAGTGCACTCTGCAGAGATGCTGGGACGCACATCCTACGAGCAACGTGGGCTTTCGTTTGTTCAAATGAGAGCAACACAACTCCAATTGGTTAAATCGTTTGCTCAAGGTCCTTGTGCACTGATACAGGGAAATCCTGGGTTTGAGTTGGGTGTGTTCTCTAAAGTCCTCGCTCTTTCATAGCAGCAGGCAGGCAGACGGAATAACAACATACTTCAGAGAATTTGCTTTCATTCCAATAAAAGTTTCTAGCACACTTTCAGTTGGTTCAGATTTTTCCAGCTGGATGGCCTCTAACAGACAAATCCAGAAAGGCTCTTACCCCAGCCCGCTGCTGCAGCGCAAAAGGGAAAATCTGTGCCAATCAATGCATTTATAAAGTGTTATTTCAAAAACTGTATTATTGCTCTTAGTTTCAGGAAAGAGTTGAAGATCTGGAAAAAGAACGAAAGTTGCTGACTGACAATTATGACAGACTCTTAGAAGAGTGAGTACCATGTTTGGGTCCCAGAGTGTCCCTGGCTGTTTTACTGGAAAATTAGAGAAAGTTTCTTCCAAATTGTGAACATAGGAGCCAGGGTGATAGCTCAGTGGAATAAATGCTTGCCTGAGTTCAAACCCTGATACCACCCCAAAAAAAAAATAATAATAATAATTGTGAACATAATACCTAGCATTGATAAGTATATTGGTATACTTGATGTTGTTAGGGAGAATATAAATTATCACAGTCATTTCAGAAGAGAATTGGACACTTTTACAATATTAAATATACATGTCTTTTTTAACCAGCAATTCCTTTTTTTTTTCAATCAAAACTAATGCAGTTGGGGGCTGGGGAGATGGCTCAGTAGAATAAGTGCTTACCTGGCAAGCACAAGGGCCTGAGTTGAACTACCGTTTCCGCAAAAAAAAAAAAAAAAAAAAACAAAACAAAAAACAAACCACCAAAACTAATGCAATCCTCTTATGTTGTACAAACATATCTATATAGTAAGGCTCTTGAAGGAGGACAGAGAAAGACAAGTAAAAAGAATTAAGATATGTTCTATACATGTGCTAACTCCCGTGAAGAATATGTCATTATATACTGCAAAGATATACTAATACAGGTAAAATTAGAAGAAAAAAAAAAAAAAAGAACATTAATGCATTGTCAGTAGTAGAATAATTTGGAAACCACCCCAAATTCCAGTGATAGGGAATTGGCTAAATAAATCAGGTTGGGGCTGGTGAGATGGCTCAGTGGTCTAAAGCGCCTACTTAGAACAAGCTTAGCAAAGCACAGAGACCGCAGTTCAATCCCCCAGCACCACATGCCAGCCAGCCCCGCCCCCTGGTGGGCTGAGCTGACCACACACACAAAAATAAATAAATAAAAAATAAATAAATCAGGTTGTATCCTCAAAATGTAGTCATACGCAGCTGTTATAAGTGAAATGGATACAGTATATTGTCAATGACAATACAAAGATATGTTGACTGTGTTGTATGTGTTTGTGGCCTGACAAATTTTTATTTTTTTAAGACAAATTTTTAATGAGGTGTGAGCATTACAGTAAAACAAAAGTGTTTCTTTCCCTTTTATTCTTTATACTTATATAATAACCTGTAATCCCAGCATTTGGGAGGCTGAGGCAGGAGGATCACAGGTTTAAGGACAGCCTGGGCTACATAGTGTGTTTCAGGATACCCAGAACTGTATGGCGAGAACCTATCTCAAAAATTATTTTTTCACAATGAACATAATATTCATGTACTAATTTTTTCCAGTTTATTTCATGTATTAATTTTATAGTTAGAGATACCTAATTGCTTTTTAAAAAATGAAAGTGTTTTCTGACCTAGCAGAGACAGCAAGGAGCAGATTGGTAGACAGTAAGAGAGTTCTTGTAAGAATATTCTGGAAAAAACTGATATTCAGCTCTGTGAAATGAAGCAGTATGGGGGTATCCACTCTGAAGACCCCTGGGATACGCATTGCTGTTGGCCTCTTTCCTTCATCGCCCAGAATGTTATGCTCTGGGGTCATCACATTATATATGCATATTAAGAAATCTCAGTACAAGCCTAGGAGAGCTATTTTTATTTTTATTTATTTATTTATTTTTTATTTATTTATTTTTATTTATTACATTTATTTATTGTGTGTGTGTGTG